CAGTCGCTTACTGTGCGGGAGAGAGACAGAGACAGCATATATATTATTATTATTTATATACACATCTCGTGATCTCACGCGAGCCTCGCCATCCAATCCGTAACACAAGCAACATGCATCGCAGACGGCGCGTGACGGTCATCGCTGCTCACCTGACGGAGTGCGTGGCAAACTCGTTGCCTTCTGAGTAAAGACTTTGTACAGCGCACAGTCCGTGACTGATGGCTAGTGAAGAAAGTGCCCACCAGGGGGCAGCCGTCCGGGTTCGTGCGTGTGCTCCCTCTGTCGCTCTGCCAGCTCCGACCTGGATGACGTCAGTTCATGTTGAATGTATATATGGTATATTATTTTTCCACATATTTATTATTAATCATTTATTTCATTCTATTGATTCATTTTCCCTGTTATATGCCCTGCATGTCATATTTAAATTTGGTTTATATCCGTGTTTGCGCCATGGCGTCGCTACCTTCTTGAAGATCTGTTGGTAGAGGTGGTTTAGTCTTCTAATCTCACAGCTTCGTCCAGGCCGAGCATCACTAGCTGCTGGAACCTCGTGGGTGTGAGTCCCCAGGTATGTCGGCCAGACGTGCAGCGGCAGTTAGGAAGCCTGCAGTTATTCTCGTCGCATGGTGCCGGCCTGTGGTGTAGAGGTATATTAGCAGACGAATATATTTATTTAATTTATTTGTGTATATATATATTCGATTGATTGATTGATTGATTGATTTGTATATATATAAATACCGCAGTCGAGTTCATCTGATGCGCTCTGTGCAGTGCGGTGTACGTCACATACTCCCGTGTAAGGATAGCAATCCTCGCCACTCTCACACTGAAACTCACACGCCTCGCTACACTGCAGTAGATAGCAAGCAATAAACACAGTTGCACGATGCTAGAATATAACTATGATACAGCTGCTACCATCTCCTCACCCACCCGCACGTTAATCTTTGGTTTGAATGTATAGCTTCAATAAATTAGATTAATTTTCTTAATGTTAATTAATAATTAATTTCTTAGATGATTTTTGGCCGACGCGAACACTCTGTAGTGATGGCTGCGCAGAATGCGAAGTCGATAACGCAAGGCGACAAGGTTTGAAAACGCAGAGTCACACGTGAATAAATGATCACGATATTAGAAAACACGCGCCGTTTTTCTCTGTAAGTTGACGCGACGGACCTCGGCGACGGCGGCGCGGCCGGGGCAGCCGCGCGGCGGGAGGGGGGGGGGGGGTTAGTAGGGTATCGAACCTGTTTGTTAAATACACACGCAGCGCGCACACGCACACCACGCACACGCACGAACACGACGCACCCACACGCCACACACACACGCACACACGCACTGGCACGAACACACGCACAACCGCAGACGCGTAGAGTGGTGATCAGTATAATATATTATATCATATATAATATTGGCGCGCCGGTGGATGATGCCCGCACATATGAGGCGTGACGTATATACACGATGGATGCCGCACAATGAGGCGTGACGTATAATACGCGTTATATCGTTCTCTCTACATCACACACGCCTCCCCCACACACGCCTCCCCCCACACGCCTCCCACACACGCTTCCCCACACACGCCTCCTCCACACACGCCTTCCCCACACACGCCTCCCCCACACACGCCTCCCCCACACACGCCTCCCGCCACACACGTCTCCCCACACACGCCTCCCCCATACACGCCTCCCCACACGCCGCCTTCCCCCCCACACGCCTCCTCTACACACGCCTCCCACACACGCCTCCCCCACACACGCCTCCCCACACACGCATCCCCACCACGCGCCTCCCCCACACACGCCCTCCCCACTCACACCTACCCACACCGCCTTCCCCACACACGCCCTCCCCACACACGCCTCCCCCACACAAGCTCCCGCACACACGCCTGCCCACACACACCTCCCCACAACCGCCTCCGCCCCACACGCCTCCCCCACACACGCCTCCCCACAACGCCTGCACCCGCCACACACGCCTCCCCACACACGCCTCCCACACACGCCTCCGCCACACACGCCTCCCCCACACACGCCTCCCCCACACACGCCTTCCCCACACACGCCTCCCCACACACGCCCCCCCACACACGCCTCCCCCACACACGCGCCTCCCACACACGCCTCCCCACACACGCCTCCCCCACCACTGCCGTCCCCACACACGCTCCTCCACACGCCTCCCCACACACGCCTCCCCACACACGCCTCCCCCACACACGCCTCCCCCACACACGGCACGCACGCATGCACACACACACACGCCTCCCCCACACACGCGTCCCCCACACACGCTCCCCCCACACGCCTCCCACACACAGCCTCCCCACCACAACGCCTCCCCACACACGCCTTCCCCACACACGCTCCCCCCACACACGCTCCCCCACACACGCCTCCCCACACACGCCTCCCGACACACGCCTCCCCCACACACGCACGCACGCATGCACATACACACACACGCCATTAACTCTTCATCCCTATCTTTAGAAATCTCCCGGGAGGAAAATATCGCTTCACTGCCATCACCGATATTAAACATCGATCGGAAAATTGCGACCGTTTATTGGCAGAAAATAAACAGATATTATACCTCGTCCCTCGTGCGTTGACGCCTGCATAGAGATGAAATTAGCGAAGCGCAGAGAATTGGAGGGTTAAGAAATAGAGAGCGCGAGAGAGCGCAGGATAGCAGATGAGAAAGCAGGAGAGAGAGAGTGAGAGACAGGAGAGAGAGAGATTTAATATAGATAGAGAGGGGGTAAAGAAGGGAGAGAGAGAGGGAGAAAGAAAAAAATGACACAGAGAGAGAAGACGAGAGAGAGCAGATGGAGAGGGGTAGAGAGGGGCGGCAGAGAATAGTAAATAAGCTTACATTGAATGATCTCCTCCCCGTCTGCACCGATTACGATCGGTCTCTCGGGCCGCACGTAGGCACAGATCACATTTTCTGCGTCGTATGGATCCAGGCATCTCTCCTCTGTCGGCGTCCACACCGTATCCCGGGACAGACCTGTCGCCATGGTAACACGCGTTAACAGAGGGCGCCCGCAGTGATTGGTGGGCGTGTGCAACAGCAGCAGCAGCAGATGATGATGATGAGGTTACGATAAAAGACGCGCAATTTTAAAGTCTAATCACTGCAGCTAATGTATGACTTAGAAACCATCTATCAAGACTCAGACATGGGCGTGGCCTCATCCAGCCAGCAGCTAATACACACAGCTTGGTATTCATCTAGCTATTAGGCTCATACTGAAGCTATCATGAATGCTGTTGGTCCTGCTTTCATATCTTCCCCTCGACCAGCGCATCCGATAAGCGAAACGCGCGTCAGAATATCACGCGATAAAACCTTTACAATATTTCACAGCACACTGATGCAGGCAACAACTAACGTTGCGTCATATATGTATATATATATATATATATATATATATATATATATGTGTGTGTGTGTGTGTGTGTGTCGTTGTGTGTTGTGTGTGTGTGTGTGTGTGTGTGTGTGTGTGTGCGCGTGTGCGTGTGCGCTACGAGCGTGCGTGCACGCGCGCCGCGTGTGTGTGTGTGTGAGGGGGAGGCTAGCATACGGCCCGTGGTGTTAGCATGTTGATTGGTATATCTCATCCAGTAGTTACGAAGCTTTCATGATATCTCCTGGTCGCCGCAATACGAATGTCCTACATGAGGAGCATGAAATACACACCTCCTCCCTCCCGGTGTCTCCCTTCTCTCCCCTATCTCTCTCACTCACTATATATAATATATATATAACTTACTTGATCTTGGGCCATCCGTGGTCGCACTGGTAGAATATCTGGCAATGGTTAGGATCAGCGGAGTAGTTCAGTGCACCGATGTTTGGGTTACAGTCATCCTCGGCCGTCAGCGGCACACCCAGCCGTTTATGCGGCACGGCGGCGGCACACACAACTGTGTCACGTAGCAACACGTAACGTTAGCATGCAACACTTACGACAACACGTAATATAAACATGGCATGACACGCATGCAGCCTTAACCTAACAGCACGTAACTCTCACCATGCAACACTTGATCGTTACATAATCATGCAACTGACAAACACGTAACGTAACCGTAACGTTATATCGCGCAATAACTATAACAACACGGTACGATTACGACGCAACATGGAACGGCTATGAAAAGATGCAATCGTCACGAGCATAGACATCACAGGACGCGACGGACAGTGAATAACAAACAACGCGGTATATGAGTCACGTCATCACGTCATCACGTCATCGCGTCATCACGTCATCACATCACGTCATCACATCATCACGTCATCTCGTCATCGCGTCATCACGTCATCACGTCATCACGTCATCACGTCCATCACGTCAGTCACAGTCAGCACGTCATCACGTCATCACGTCATCACGTCATCTACGTCATCACGTCATCACGTCATCACGTCATCACGTCATCGCGTCATCACGTCATCAGCTCATTCCACGTCATCACGTCATCACGTCATCACGTCATCACGTCATCACGTCATCACGTCATCACGTACATCACGCTCATCAGCAGTCATCACGTCATCACGTCATCACGTCATCAACGTCATCACGTCATCGCATCACGCTATTACGTCATCGTCAAGGTTGAAAAACACGATGAGCAGAAGAGAACCGCGCGTGACAGCCAGTGCATTGAAGCCGTAAATGTTGAGAAGCGTTTGAAGATGTGGATAACGAGTAACAGAGGACTGACGGCCGCGCGCCGGGGGAAGGGCCGCCGGTGTTTTTACACGCGCTCAAAAATAACGAATTTTCTCAAACGCAGTTCTTTTCTATAATTGCAATTAGCGGTTTTTCTTGGTAGGGTTTCCCTGTTTCTGCCACCTGTTTCTCGTTTTGGCTTTGTGTGTGTGCGGTGCTGTGTGTGTGTGTGCTGTGTGTGTGTGTAGTTGTGTGTGTCGGTGCGTGTGTGTGTGTGTGTGTGTGTGTGCGCGCGCGTATGTGTGGTGTGTATGTATGATCATGAGAAGCTATTGTTAGGATCGATGATTGATACAAAGATTAAATTCCTGGAGTGCTGAACCTTCGACCTAGACCGTTCTTAGTGAAACTTCTATAGTGATTCTTGCTAACTTAACGATCGTTCTAAAACGCCAGCACCAGGGCGCTATCAGTGCTGCTATTTAAATAAATATATATGAATAAATATCTAAATCTATCTATCTATCTATCTATCTATCTATCTATCTATCAATATATATTGTTATAATATACATGATATATTATATATATGATATAATATAGATATATATATATAATAAATATATATTATACACAAATACATATTTATAAATGAACATAGATAATAAATGAGAAACTACTTACCAGCAAGTGTGCAGACGACGATGAGGATCTTCATGGTCGTTGAGGTGGCGGCGGCGGCGGCGGCGGCGGCGAGTGGTGAGGCTGTGGGGGTGGCGAGATGACCGCGCACCTATGTGTAAATGTGTGTGTCTCCGTCACCGGTTATATAGTAGAGCCGTGCCCACTGAACTGTATAAACCGACGTTTGAAACACACCGCCGCCACCACTCGCGCCCGCACAAACATAAAGAGTGGGGGAGATCTACAGAAAGTGAGCGACCGAGAGGGGCGAATGAAAAGGGCGAGAAGAGGAGAGAGAGAGAGAGAGAGAGAGAGAGAGAGAGAGAGAGAAAGAAAGAGAGAGAGAGCGTCTCTCGTAAGTGAAAAAAGATGAGAGGTAGCAGAGAGAGAGCGCGCGCAGGAGGAAGAGGACAGAGATGCTAGAGCGATAGCATCACACAGGGTGGCGAGGTGAGGAAGAGAGAGAGAGAGGAGCGCGAGAAGGCGAAGAGAAAAGGAAGTGAACCCGAGAGAAAGAGAGAGAAGAGAAGAGAGAGCAGAGCAGAGAGCGAAAGCTTAGCACGTAATCAGTGGCAAGACATTTATAATCGCATAGAAAACGAGAAACTAGCATATTCGGCTGTCAGCCTGCTTAATATACCGTCGTCAAGCTTAACTCCGTCCGACAACCCGCGTAAGTGCGGTCATTGATGCCCTAGCTAGTGCACTGAGAACGCAGGCGAGAGAGTGGGGAGGGTGGCGGAGATGCGCGGAGGGGCAGCTAGCGAGCGTAGCAAGGAGGAGAGAGGGGGAGGGGTGGGGAGATGCGGGCGAGCAGGGCCAGCTAGCGATGACGCGAACGGAATAGAGAGTGGGCGAGGGTGGGGAGATGGGGAGGGTGGCAGCTAGCAGCCGAGAGAGAGGAGAGAGTGGGAGGTGGGGAGAGGGGGAGGGGGCAGCTAGCGAGCCGAAGAGGGCGGAGAGAGTGGCGAGGCGTGGGGGATGGGGAGGAGGCAGCTATGGAGCGGCTGAGAGTGGAGGAAGAGAGTGGGGAGGGTGGGGAGATGGGAAAGGGGCGGCAAGCTACGAGCGTAGGAGAAGGTGGCGAACAGTGGAGGCGTGGGGAATGGGGAGGCAGGCTACGCGAGCGAGAGGTAGGAGAGATTGGGAAGGGTGGGGAGAGTTGGGGGCAGGAGGGGGCAGCTTAGCGAGCAGAGAGTAGAGAGCAGTGGGGAGGGTGGGGAGATGGGTGAGGGGGCAGCTAGCGAGCGCAGCAGGTTTAGGGATCAGAAGTGGGGAGGGTGGGAGATGGTGAGAGCGGCAGCTATCGCGAGCGAGAGGCGGAAGGGGAGCAGGGGGAAGAGATGGGGGAGGGCAGCCTAGCGAGCGAGAGCGATGGAGCAGAGTAGGGAGGGTGGCGGAGATGGGGGGGGCAGCTACGCAGCGAAAGGGAGAGAGAGTAGGGAGCGGTGCGGGGAGATGGGGGAGCGCGGCAGCTAGCGATGGCGATAAGCCGCGAGGAGAGATTGGGACTGAGTTGCGGGAGATGGCAGGAGGGGCGCAGCTAGCGAGCGAGAGGAGGGAGAAGAGTAGGGAGGGTGGGAGCAGGGGGGCAGGCGAGGCAGCTAGCGAGCCGAAAGTCGCGAAGAGAGAGCTAGGGAGGGTGGCGGGAGATGGGGGGAGCGGGCAGCTACGCGATATGCGAAAGGAGCTGAGAGAGTGGGGAGGGTGGGGCCAGATGGACGGGAGGGTCGGCAGCTATCGCGAGCGAGAGGGAGCGAGAAGTAGGTAGAGGGTGGGCAGCATGGGGCGAGGCGGCCCAGCTAGCAGCGAAAGGGAGGAGCAGAGTGGTTTGAGGGTGCGGGAGCAGGAGGAGGGGCGCCAGCTAACCGCGCAGCTGAAAGCGGAGGAGCAGAGTGGTGAGGGTGGGGAGATGGGGTAGCGGGCAGCTAGCGAGCCGCAAAGCGGAGGAGGAGAGTAGGCGAGGGTGGGTGAGATGGGGGTAGGGCAAGCTAGCCGACGCGAAAGGAGCGAGGAGAGTGGGGAGGGTGGGAGATGGAGCGAGGCGGGCCCAGCTAGCGAGCGAGAGGAGGAGAGAGTGCGGTGAGCACGCTGGGGAGATGGGGGAGCGGGCAGATACGCGAGCCGAAAGGGAGGACGAGAGTGGGCCGAGGGTGGGGAGACGGAGGACCGGGCCAAGCTAGCTGATGCGGAGGAGAGGATGAAGTGGACGGAGAGTGGGGAGATGGCCCTGGGGGGAGGCGCAGATAGCGAGCCCCGCCAGAGAGAGGAGGCCCAGCTGAGATGCAGAGAGCAAATACAGAGAGAGGAGAAGAGGAGCAGAGAAGAGAGAGAGAGCAGAGCAGAGAACCAGATAGCATAGACAGAGAAAGAGAGGGCTGGAGCGCCGGAGCGGAGAGAAAGATTGGAAGAGAGTGAGTAGGCAGTACAGAAGAGCAGAGAGAGCAGAGCAGAGAGAGAGAGAGAGAGAGAAGAGAGAAAGAGAGACAGAGAGCAGAGAGAGAGAGAGACGAGAGAGAGAGAGACTTGCCCTTCATATGGTATATAGTTAACGCCTGCTGAGCGCGAGTGAATGTGCCCACCTGTGAGGTTACCATACTGGGCAACAACAAATCTCCCCGTCTAACTCTCTCTCTCTCTCTCTCTCTCTCTCTCTCTCTCCTCCTCTCTCTCTCTCTCTCTCTCTCTCTCTCTCTCTCTCTCTATCTCTTTGTCTATTTCTCTAGCTTACTCCCTCTCTCCGTACACACAGGTCGTGTTTTGATATGCTTGCAGGTTAGAAATACGGCTTACGGCTTATACCTCACGATGAAGAAACATGAAAAGAGAAGGAGAGAGAGAGAGAGAGAAAGTATAGAGTTAAACTAGGACGATGCTGGCTCCATTACGCTAATGGGGTCGTTGTTTCATAGCAGAGGAGGGGAGGGGGAGAGGAAAGCAAGGGGAGAGGAGAAGGAGTAGAGGGGAACGACGCGAGCGTGAATCTACTCAGGTTCAGAATATAGATGAGAAAAAAACGCGTGCGCTCGGATTAATGACAGATATTAGTATTCCGGTGGCGACAGCTGGCGGCGGCATGTAACAACAATGACGCCGGTACACGTCATACGTCACGCGGCCTTCACGAGAGATGTAAGATTTTAATTGCGTCCCGATTCTAAATTATTATCCGTGTTGTAGGAATGATTAATAATAGGCCCTAGATATATCTGTGGTGCGTGTATCGGTGCGTACGTGCCTGTACGCGTATTTGTGTCCGTGCGCGCCTCTGTGCATATAATTACCTCCGCCAGGGGCTTGGCGGAGGTTATGTTTTCACCGGCGTGTCTTTGAGTGTTGGTTTGTGTGTTTGTGGGTTTGTGTGTTACCATGCACGTTTCAGTTCACTTCCGCTAGGTGCGCTGGCTGTAGACTTACAAACACGCAACTACAGGCTAAGGGGCAACCACAGTCCTCCACCACCTGCACGCTCGCACTAATCCGGATCCAATTAATTATTTAATTAATTAATTAATTAATTAATTTTTCCACTTAATTAATTAATTAATAAAAAATTTCACATTGAGAGAATTCAGCTGGCTTGGCGGAGGTCTGTGCTCTCCGAGTGCTCTAGTTTTATATGTTTCTATACTGGTGTCTGTGTCTCTGTGCGTGCGTGCCTGCTGGTATGTGTCCGTGCGTGCGTGCGTGCGTGCGTGCGAGCGTGCGTGCGTTCGTGCGTGGGTGGGTGGGTGAGAGTGGGTGAGCGTGAGTGCAAGAAACTACTGCTCTATTGACGACCTGGTATTGACAGAGTTCTAAACAAACTTTCCTTACAATCGCCCGTTATAGCGCTATTGCTACATTCAGCTATTTGTCATATTGCTATAGTCAACATCCGATCAATATCAATACAAGCGTTCAGCCTACATTGCGTAACTGTGTCAGTATAACCAATCTCTTAACGTGCGCCTTACGTATTGTTATTATCTAAGGCTCACTTGTTACTCATTTGTTAATTACAGAATCTTCAGTCAAAATTTTTGGAATTTGTTTATAAGCGCAGCAGCCGTCATGCGGGGAGCACGTCTCTCCCTCTCTCTCGCTCCCTCTCTCTCTTTCGCTTTCTTTTTCTCTCGCTTTCTCTCTCTCTCGCTCTCTCTCGCTCGCCCTCTATTGCTCTCGGCCGCGCCCCTCTCTCCTTCTCCGCTTCCCCCAGCGCTCTGCGACCGCTGCATGTTCCATATTCCACTATAAGCGGTCCTGGCAGGCCGCGAGAACATATAGATTAGTTGGACAGAAAAGCAATAAGTAACGTGTCCATACAAAGCTTATACACACAGTGTGTGTGTGTGTGTG